ATTAGCACTGCTGACATCTCTATGTAGTATAGGATGAGGCTTGAAGAGATGAAGGTAATTGAGAGCACAGGCTACATCTAAACTGATGCTCAGTATCGCAGGATAGGCCACTCCTCCACTCTCTAATTCCTTTCTTAGGCTCGTCGGCATTAGCTCTGTCAGGATGATTGGATTACCCTCTGTAGTCGCTCCTATGAACTGAAGGAGGTTAGGATGACGTATTTTAGAAGCAATATTCATTTCACGAGAGAATGTCCCAATGTTATAAGGAGAGATGATGACTTCGTAGAGACACTTTGCAGCAACCTTCAGACCACGAAAACCAGCCACTTTCACCTCTCCCCATCCTCCTTTACCAAGGACTACCTCTGTCATTGTAATCTCTCTTCTATTCACTACCCAGGAAGACTCTGCCACATGTATCTGCTCTTCAAGTTGTCTCTCTCTTTGTTGGAACTCTCTCTCTCTTTCCTCAAGCTGTTGCTCTCTTTCTTGAAGCTGTCGTTGAAGATCCTGTTCTCTTTGCTGGCCACCTTCTACTTGCCTTTGAAGCTGTCGCTCTCTTTCTTGAGATTCTCTCTCTCTTGATTGAACTTGCTGCTGTGCTTGTTGAAGTTGCTTCTGAAGATCCTGTTCCCGTTCCCTGCCCTCTTGAATTTGCCTCTCTCTTTCTTGCTGTGCTTGTTGAACTTGTCTCTCCTTTTCCTGAAGCTGTTGTTGTAGTCTGTTTCTAACTTGTTCCTTTTCTCTTCTCTCCTCCTGTAATTCCCTTTCCCTTTCTTGTAGTACACGTGTCAGACGGTCTATTTCTCTTCTATCCTCAGGTTGAACAGGTTGAGATGCTTCCCATTCTCTTCTCCTTTCTTGTAGTTTCTCTTGATACTGGTCCAGAGGTATTATACTAGTAGACCAATCATTATTACTAGTATATCCTATACAGTAACACAATAATTGAATTAATGACAAGTACATGTACATGTATAATAATAATAATAATATTACTATATTGTCGTATTATATTCAATATGTACAAATTGTGTATATTCAATACATTTGTATTTATGCACTCACTGAGTTCAATAACTGCTGTATCTCTGTATAATGTGCCTCCTCCAAACACAATTATCCAGTTAGTGGTTGGAGTCACACTCCAAACTGAGAGAGAATGATAACATCTCTTAGTGACATTGTCTGGTATATTAACCTATAAAAGAAAAAATATTTTGTAAAAGAATTATTATTCATTCTCTTGTATATTGTTCTGTTCAATCAATAAAAATGATTCTATTCCTCAATACTGTATTGTGTATTATACAAACCACACCCACAAACTATAAGCCACACCCTAAACCAATATAGTGTTGTATTATTAATGTGAACCATTCTTTCAGTAATTATTAATTATTTACATTATAACATACATAAGTACAATACTTGATTACTAGTACATAATAATAATAACCAGTTATGATGTATTGTTATTATATTATAATATACTTACCAGTTCCTTCCATGATTTATTGTTAATATCAAATATCCAAATATCAGGAATAGAAACAAATATATCTGCTCCACCCACCACTAGTAGGTGTGGTCCTGAGCTAGTGTTAATCAATACACTGGAATGAGCACGTCTTTCCTTAGGCCATTGTCCTGATCGTCCAGGATTAGATAACTTTGTACAATTCTAAAATAATAAAATAAAAACTTAATTATCATAAACCACACCCACACACTCAGTGTAATGAATAATAATACACACATACAATACATCATTAATTAATAATTAATGTAATTATACTAATAATACACTCACCACTGATGTATCAGTAAAATTAAGAATATATACATTGTTACTGTCTCTATTAGCAGTTTCACCTCCAAATAATATAGCACTGGAATTATTAATTGATGTTAAAGTGAAGTCGTGAATAGGAGGTGGTCTGTCTCCAGTGACAGTCGGTGATATCCATTGTCCTAAAAATATCAATAATAATAATTAGTGTGAATGGAATGTATTGGGTAGAACAAACTAGTTGATATTTCTTTGATCATATTATCAAATAATTAGGAGTGACAACCATGAACAAACAAGCAAGCAATTCTCAATGCAACCAGTCTGAGTGGAGAACCACCAAATAACAATACTTCATTATATTAATATAAACTGTATGTGCTCTGACCTATTGAGAGTTTATAGAAATGGATCTCATTGCATTGTTGCTGAACTCCATCACTGTACTGGGCACCAGGTTGTGGTGGTGTATTATTAGAAGATGGTCCCTTTCCTCCAATTACTACAAGATAGTCCTCACCGTTCACTTTTATTGCTATCATGTCACAGTGGTGCTTCATCATAGGACCATGATGAGATGTAGTAGGAGAGAGTTCCTTCCAATTGAAGGTATCAACATTAAAACTGTATAAAATGATATATAATATTTATCAGTAACTATTATGTTTACCTGTATAAACTATTATGACAACAATTATCATGATTACAATGGCCTCCGAAATAAAATATTTCCCTTCCAATGGCAGCAGCTGCATAGCCCCTAACACCCAGTGGAGGGTTACCAGTGGTGGGTTTCTGCTCCCACCTACCAGTCCTTAGGTGACACACCTCCATCAAAGAACACATTGATTTCTTCTCTTCATTATTATGTACTTCAGGGAGACCAGGCTGCCTCCCACCCCACATGTACAAGTAGTCTCCTACCCGTACAGTGGAGTGACTATTCCTCTTCACTGGTTGATAGTCTATAGATAACAAGAGGTAACAGTAACTGAATGATACACTAATAGTAACAACACACGAGTCATAATCAAGTATAAACAAAATACTGACCTGGTGCTTTGGCTGCCATTTTAATTGGAGGTAACGCCCTTCTATGACGTCACATAATGAATGTGTGGCATTAATTAACATTGTCAGAAATAAAATTTTAATACTCAATGAAAAATTTTTAAAATAATTATTTTACAGATATTGCTGGATGCTGTTTTTCTGTAGCAGACAACGTTCAGTGAGATTCTCTTCTATCCTCAGGTTGAACAGGTTGACATGCTTCCCATTCTCTTCTCCTTTCTT